AGACACAGTCATTCATTTCTATGGCATTCCACTGTTTTTACCTATTCCTAGCATTAAGCAGTAGCAGCAGTAATAATAGCAACAATAGTGCTACAACAGACATAACCCACACTACCAAGGCATCTTAATGAAAAACTATTATAAGTCATTTGATTTCACTTACACTGTTATCACTTAATTTTATGAACAATCATATTATGTACAGTCATCATCCCCTTTCATTTTAGTGAGTTGCATAGCCATGATTTCAAACATGAATAAAAAAATCTTGAAATCAATACCAGTACTGTTCAGGTTAATAGGTTTCTCCCCATCATTATTCCCTGAACAATACAGTTTAACAATTACTTACATTGACATTGCACTAGGCATCATTAATCTAAAGATTACACATGAGGATGTGCATAGGTTATATGCAAATGCTATTTCACTTTATATAAAAGACTAACAATTTGACACTTTGGTATTCACAAAGAAAGGAGACTCTAGAACAAATTTTCTGTATATCAAAGGGCAAGTTTACTATCCATGACCTTTTAAAAGTGAGTTATGGAAAATTTTTTAAATGTTCAAAAAATTACGTATCTGTTAAGTAGAGAAACCAAGATTTGAACAGTGGAATTATGTCTTAAAAGCCTAGGTATAACTTTCCAATGAAGCCAAAGCACAGAAACATAGTGGGAATGTAATATGATGCAGTGTGCATCGCCAATGGTGCCACAATTTCTCAAATTAAAAATGGAACTGTTATATGCTTAAGCAATCCCACTTCTGAATTTTTATCCAAAAGAACAGAAATCAGGATCCGAAAAAGACAAATTACACATCCTTGCAGCATTTTTCACAATACCTAAGAAGTAGAAGCCACCCAAATACCTATCACTGTGAGATAAATATATATATATATATATATATGTAGTAGGATAAAATTCAGTCTTTAAAAGTAAGGAAATTTTATAATATGCAACATGGATGAAACTGGAGGACACTTTTAAGTGCAATAAACCAGTCACCAAAAAAACACAAATATTGAGATATCCAGAATAGTCACATTCATGAAAGCAATATGGGGTGGAAACTGTGCAACTGTGGGTTAAGCTGCCACCTGGGCTACCTACATTCCATGTTGGATAACTGATCTGAATCCTAGACACTCTACTTTCAGTCCAGGTTACTCCTAATGTACATCCTGAAAGCCCATGACTCAAGTACTTGAATTCAGAACATATGTGGCATTATGTTTCCAAAGGGCACACCATGACTTAGACCAGCTCAATAAATATCAGCTATCATCATCATCATCATATCTATATAACCAGCTTAATGAACAAACTGAGAAGACAAAAGAAGAAGAAAGAAAATGAGAAGTTTCTGGTTGAGCAACTGGGAAAATGATGTTGCCTTTCTAGAAGACTAGGAACAGTATAGCGTCTTTTAAGTTTTCTGTACTTTGAGGTGAGCACAAATATTCTAAATTCTGTACTAGTCAGCCTAACTTTGAAAGGCCTGTAGAATTTCTAGATATAGCTGTGAAACAAGCAGGATATATGGAGCTGGAGCTCAGCAGACTCAGATTAGGAGACCTCAATGATACTGCAGACAACCATTACCCTCTCACAACTGGGGTTCCTTGACGCCAACTCTAAGTTTAAGAGCTAGAAGAATCAACACCCATATGTGCCTAAATGTTCAAAAACCAAGAAGCTCAAGAAATGTGCAACAGGAAAACAAGTTTTGCCAATTTGTAATGATACATGTATTAAGCTGTCAACATCTTTTTTTTTTTTTTTTAAAGATTTATTTTTATTATTTTTTATTGGAAAGGCGGATATACAGAGGAGAGACAGAGAGGAAGATCTTCCATCCGATGATTCACTCCCCAAGTGAGCCGCAACGGGCCGATACTATGCCGATCCGAAGCCAGGAGCCTCTTCCGGGTCTCCCACGCGGGTGCAGGTTCCCAAAGCTTTGGGCCGTCCTCAACTGCTTTCCCAGGCCACAGGCAGGGAGCTGGAAGGGAAGCGGGGCTGCCGGGATTAGAACCGGCGCCCATATGGGATCCCGGGCGTGCAAGGCGAGGACTTAACCACTTGCGCCACCGCGCCGGGCCCAAGCTGTCAACATCTTAAAACAACCACATCATCAAGCTTTTCTGAGTCACTATCATAGTAGTATCAGCCTACTGAAATTTCCAAACTGCTGGAATATCAAAAACGCCATGTAATATCCAAAATAGTATCATCCAGAAAAACTTCAAGAAAGCACAAAATAAGCTTGACTCTAAATTTAAATACCATACTAGCAATTTAACATTCACAAATTTCATAAATATTTCTGTGCCCCATTTTCCTTTTGTTAAATTCAGATAATGCCACTAATTTCACTTGGTTGTACTGGGTATTAAAAAACACAACATTTTTTTAAAGATGTATTTTCACTGGAAAGCTAGATCAGATTTACAGAGCGGAGACAGAGGAAAAATCTTCCATCGTTGGTTCACTCCCTAACTAACAGCAATAGCCAGAGCTGAGCTGTATTTGCAGGCAGGATCCTGGAACTTCTTCCAGGTGTCCCATAAAGGTGCAGGGTCCTAAGGACTTGGGCCATTCTCAACTGCTTTCCCAGGCCATAAGCAGGGAGCTGGAAGGAAAGTGGAACAGCTGCGACACAAACTGGTGCCCATAATGGGATCCTGGCATGCACAAAGTGAGGATGCAACCACTGAGCAATTACGCTGGGCCCACAACAGTGCTGATTAGCATACACTAAAGAGTTCAACAAATAGTAACTTCCATGGTCATTCAATCTTGAGAATTTGTAAAAGGTATTTTTTTCCAGCTTAGGTTACCTACAGTTATCAGAAATAAATTTGAATTTTTGTTGCAGTAAGCTTTTCAAAGCATACCGGAACAATGCCTAGGCATTGAAGTTGCCACCACTTAGGACTCCAACATCTCATATGGTAGATTTTTCTATTCAGTTCTGCCTCTGTTTCCAATCCTGTTTTCTGCTAATGCATACTCTGGATGCAGCAGATGCTAGCTCAAATACATGAAATCCAGTCCTTCACTTGGGAAATTGAGATGGAGTCCCTCGGCATTTGGAGAGCGAATAAACAAATGGAAAATTCTCTTGCTCACTCTTTCCCTTTCCCTTTCTATCTCCCTCTCTCTCTTTCTGCCTTCAAATACATAAAAATAAATCTTTTAAAAAAATTACATTCAGTAACAGGAGTTAGCATACTTTCAAACTAAATTTAAGGGTTAAATATAAATTTAGCAATGCTACTTTTGATTTCTACATATTTACAATAGCATAATACGTGGGAAGGCACTATAAACTATGACAAACAGTTATTTTTTTATTCTGACATTCTGGAAAATATCGTAGTTAATATTTGTGGGCCCAGTACGATGGCCCAACTGGTTAATCCTGCACCTGCAAGAACGACAACCCTATATGGGCACAGGTTTGTGTCCCTGCTGCTCCACTTCGCATCCAGCTCCCTGCTTTGGGAAAGCAGTAGAGGATAGTCCAAAGCCTTGGAACCCTGCACCTGTATGGGAAACCCAGAGGGGGCTCCTTGCTCCTAGCTATGGATTAGCTCAGCTCCAGCCGTTGTGATTATTTGGACAGAGAACCAGTGGATGCAAGACCTTTTTCTGTCTCTCCTACTCTAAATCTGCTTTTCCAATAAAAATAAAATAAAATTTAAATATAAATTTTTAAAATCTTTTAAATGTAAAAAATAAATAATTATGCATATATGATATATAAAAAAATCGTTTAAAAATTACATTCAAAATATATAATAGTTTATATCTAACAGAAAATCACAAACTCCACTTCTCCTTTCTGCTTTATTCCCATTCATTAAAGTCCCAAGACACAATACATAGATTTGTTTCAAAGTTTTGATTAACTTTAAGAAACCACATGCTAGGGCCCGGTGGTGTAGCCTAGCGGCCTAAATTGTTGCCTTGAACCCACCAGGATCCCATATGGACACCGGTTCTAATCCCGGCAGCTCCACTTCCCATCCAGCTCCCTGCTTGTGGCCTGGGAAAGCAGTCAAGGACAGCCTAAGGCCTTGGGATCCTGCACCCACATGGGAGACCCGGATGAGGTTCCTGGTTCCTGGATTCCAATCAGCACAGCACCAACCACTGTGGTCACTTGGGGAGTGAATCATCAGACAGAAGATCTTTCTCTCTGTCTCTCCTCCTCTCTGTATATCTTTATAATAAAAATAAATAAATTTCAAAAAAAGAAACCACATTTTAAATTTATTGGTGCTTTTATAACAAACTGAAATCTAAACTATTAATGTTGATTATTGGCAGTTTGGGGGAATAGAAGGTGTTTCAATTAAAAATTAGGAAATGCTCTGTGTGGCTCATTAATGTGACTACTAATATGAATTTAACAATAGGGCAAATTGAGTGTGAAGTATATTTTAAAAACTCTTGGCACTACTATACTTTTGTTGTAAATTCCAAACAATTTTGACATTAAAAATTTTTTAAACGACTAGATTAATGGCTTGCAAAAAATAAAAAAACAACAAAAAAAACTCAATGTCAAGAGCTGTTTAATTAAACAAACGGTGCATGCATAAACACAATAACACAGCTTTAGATACACACAAACATATATATATATTTATATGAAAAAGAGCAGGTGTTAGGATTTCAAGCCTCTTAGATAATTACTATTCAAAAACCAAAATCATTTATGATAAAGAATTAGGAAGCATTTTTTTTTATTCTCAAAGGAAGCATTTCACAAAATAGTAAAATATACATTATATATTTTAGATATTCATTACTGGTAAACACTAAGTCCAATCAATTTAAAACTTAAAGTTAATCTAAATTAAGAAGTTTGCATATGCTATATATATATATATACACATCCACATACAGACATATATATATTTAAATTTTAATCTTTAAACAGACATTCGGCAAATGTTAAATGCTAAAATTGATAAAACTTACGAATCAACATGCAGAACTCTCTGTCCACTTCTTGAACATGCAGCCGCAATGATGGATTCAGGCAAACCTATAAAAACACACCTATATCATTTAGAATGTAGAAATATGTATCCATACACATTTTACACTAAATGTGCTAAGCATATCTTTACTATATAGAATAATTCAATAAGACACTGTCTTATGTTCAAAATTATAAATTTTCTTTTTATTACACTAGCAAGTACTTTCTCATATTTTTATATTTTATTCAATTTTCTTAATTATGCAGTATCTGTAAATTTCTATCGGAAAATTAAATCCCCAAAGACAATGTAAACTAAAGACACCAGGCAGCTAACCTGAACATTGTTTTGTGCAACAGGCACGCTTTTAAAAATAAATCATTTTTATGTGCAAAACACCAAAAATGAGCAACTGTAAGCACACTTTTCACAAAGAATATTGTTATTTAGGAGACATGTTCACACACCAATTCATCTGATTCTCTCAGCTGCTGAGTTAAGCATCTATGCACACATGTTAGAGATGAAAAAGACTCTAGGCACAAATATCCTAACATGTTTAATGCTTTCTTTAAAAGAGGATCTATAGCGGAAATGTGAACTCAGATCCAATGCCAAAGCCACAATGCCACAAAGCCATAATTTTTTTTTTTGTTTTGAGAAATATGTTCACTAACATAAAGAGGTCATTTACAAAATATATCATTTTGTCTTTTGGTCAATACAGCAGTTTGAAAAGAAAACATCACTGCTTTGGAATCAAATTTAGCCACACCACAAAGCTGATTATGACAAAAGCTCATATATATTACTACCACTAATAACAGGAAAAATCTGAACATTTACAAAAAGAATGCTTTTATAATTTTTAAAAGTCAGGTTTTCTCCCACATTTGGTAGTTAATTCCCTATGCTGTAAGTTTAAGGCTCTTTTATAACTTTTAATCATAAGATATACCATTCTGATAGAGGCCATCAAATCTTTTCTATCAGACACACAAAGAAGCTACGTTTGGAAAATTTCTGGTTTGCAAAGTTCTGTGGTGCTAACTCATTCATTGTGATGAAGCATCCTAATCTTACTGAATTTTCACCTAGCAGAAAATAAACCGTGCTCTTATTTTGCAAAGGATTAAAACTACACAAACTACATGATAAGCAGCAAAGATTTCAAAGAAAAGGAAAGGTTACTTTCTTTATATAAAAGTAATGCACACATGGAAGCAATTGACACAATCTCCAGTTTAAACCCACATTAAACACAAGATCCAGATGACTTTACAAAGGAACTAGTTTTCCAGCATTGTACACTTTGTGGGTATATAATGTTGGGTTCAAAATAGTAGTTCTGACCAAATGTACTGAATATAACCATTAAATATCAATTATCAGAAACAAGCCATCATGATGTTCTAACATTAACTTTGGATATAATTCAAGAAAAAAAAAAAGAGTATCTGGAAATAAGACAAAGGAAAATTTTAAAGATTTATTTTTATTATTTTTTATTGGAAAGGCGGATATACAGAGGAGAGACAGAGAGGAAGATCTTCCATCCGATGATTCACTCCCCAAGTGAGCGCAACGGGCCGATACTATGCCGATCCGAAGCCAGGAGCCTCTTCCGGGTCTCCCACGCGGGTGCAGGGTCCCAAAGCTTTGGGCCGTCCTCATCTGCTTTCCTGGGCCACAGGCAGGGAGCTGGAAGGGAAGCGGGGCTGCCGGGATTAGAACTGGCGCCCATATGGGATCCCGGGCGTGCAAGGCGAGGATCTTTAACCACTTGCGCCACCGCGCCGGGCCCAACAAAGGAAAATTTTAAAAGCTAAGCATACTTAGTTCCTCAAATGAAACTACGTTATTCTTACAGTTCTGTACCTCAAGACCATTTGAACTTTTTGCTACACCTTTAAAGAAGCAGTGTTCCTGTTATTGAAGTGCAGTCTCATTCATGTATTTTAAAAGCTCAGTAAGCAGCTCAGCTACAAGAACAGTAAAGAAAATGGGATGCTAAAAATAACATTCTTGGTGTTACAACAGCAACAACAAAATCAAACCTTAGTCCAGGATTCTGTGCTTCACACTGGATCTTTACAAACACCACTGACTTCATCTCTCTCTCACAATGTTGAGGACAGCAGTCTCACCCAAATGAGGAAATGAATTCAGAACAGTCTGCTAACTTGCTAAACATCAAGTAATATAGTAATTTCGTATTTTCAATGCACAATTCCATAATAATTCATTATTTCTAACTAGGACATAAATTTGAAAATCACAATTTAAGGGCACTACATTGATACAATGAACCAGGAATTGTCTCAAACAGACTTGAATCTTAGTTCTGTTGCTTAATTGGCTGTGCAACATCAAAGAAATCACTTAACTTCTCTGAGCCTTTGCTTCATACATCACTATCTACCTCACAACATTTGGTTCTTCCTACTATCTCTATGTACCTCATGGGATCACTCAAGGGCACATGTCCTATGAATACAAAAAGAGTACTTCAAAAAGTTTTTTAAAATGAGATTAAAAGATGCTTAACTTGGTGTAAAAAATTGTGGCCAGTTATAGCTTTTCCATATTCAAATTTATTTTTTATATTTTAAGTATCTGACAGGTAGAGACAAAGGCAGATCTGCCATCTAACAGCTCACTTCCAGATGCCCACAACAGCAGAGACCAGAGCCAGGAGCTGGGAACTCAATCCAGGTCTCAGAACTGGTGAAAGGAATCCAAATATCCGAGTCAGCCCCGCTGTGCTCCAGGGTCTGCATCCACAGGAAGACAGAAGTCAGAAGCTGGGTATCAAAGCCAGGCACTCCACCATAAGGCAGAGCTGTAGTAACCAACCAGTACATGTTTTAATATCTTTTTGGACATCTTTTACGCGAATGGATTTCCAAGCAGTTTTTCAACAAAAAATAAATTACCTGCTAAGTCTAGTGCCGTGAGTTTTTAGTACAGTACCTTCATATATAATTGCATTAGAAACATTACATCTTCACTCTACTCCAAACGCCCATCTATTTTTAATCAGATGCCAACTCCAATAGTGAACAATAATAAAATTACTCTCCTCTACTTGCCCCAAATAGCTGTTACTTTGGGTAAGCAGATATTCGTGTGGCTACTTCCATGGCTGCAATCAACACTGCAGGAGCAAGCCTCTGCTGACAAAGCACAGGCAAGAAAGGATTTCAGCACTGAACATGACCTCAGTCCAAATTACACAAAACCAAAATGACTTTTGGTTTTCCTTAATACTTTCATACATCCATTGCCATAACTTTGTGAAACTGATAGGCTATGCCAGTGTGAAATGGTAGTAAAGACCTATAACATCCCTGCTTAGCTTTACTAAAATAATAAACTAATACTATAGCTAACAATGGCTTTTTCTGGCCAACATTTCCTAATTTCTTCCCTCTCAATCTGTAAACAGTCCCTGAAAATAGAACACACGTAGTAGATTACATATTTGCTGAAGGAATGAAAATAACAAGGGAAAAATAGGGGAAGGAGAGAGGAGGAGGTTAATAGAAAAAAAAATGTGACCACATAAAAAGTTAAGATAATCCCTAGCCTAACAGAGCTGAGAATCTAAAGAACAAGAATCTTAGAAAACATTTAAGTATTAAGCATACCTAAAACTGCTGTAAGAACACAATGGAAAGAAACATTCCCTCTGTAAAGAAGGGTCATGGAAAACCCAGATTGGACACTAGCTGTGTCTTGCAGGATCTGCATGGAAAAGGAAAGGGAAAGGGATCATTCCCAGCAAGAGGTAAAAGGGAAAACCAAAAGATGGTGCTTGGCAAGAGCAACTGGACTGGCCCATTTCACATAGTATAAACTTTTCAAGGGTTACCCATGTTGCACCACGAGTCAACGCATCATTACCTTTTTTAAGAGGTAATATCCTACTAAATGGATAAACCTTATCTTCTTAGTATTATTCTTCCATCAACAGCCATTTACACTGTTCTCACATCTTAGCTACTGTGAATAATACTGCAACACACAAAGCCAACCACAGAAGAACGGACAGGACTTTAAGTGTTTAAAATAGGTAAATTCAAAGAATCAAAAGGCAGAATGGTGGCTGCCATTTGTATCAGGTTGAGGGAAATGCAGAGTTGCCAATAACAAATGGCCATGAAATTTGCTACACAACTAGAGATCTGCTGTACTGCACAGTGCCTATAGCCAATACTATGTGCTTGAGAAATTTCTTATGAGGTTGAATCTCTCATTAAATGTTTTGGTCACAACATGACTAAAGGGAGAGGGAGGAATGGGATATTTGAAACCAAATTATGAAGTCTGAACTTGAACCTCTAAGCAAGGGGCAGTTATAAAAGAATGTTAGCCAGAATAGCGTGGTCAAATCAAACAGTTTGGGGCAGGGGGACCTCTAATCACTGCATGGAGAAATAACTTTTTCTAAGTTTTATAAAGACTGGAGCTTTAAGTCTTGGGATTTTTTTTAATTCCTATTAGAAGTTAATGTACTTAAACTGGACAGGATAATTTAGGAAAGGATAATTTAGTAAAAAGTGTTCTGTTCAAAATCTGTAAACATGATTTCAGCAGCACTTAAACTCCTGATGGATGCAAAAAATTAAAATTTTAATGTTTAAAAAATGAACTTCTGAGTCATGAAATTCATACATCTTTGTGATAGACTTGTACAAAACACATGTAGATTTACAATGATTTACAGTATCTCCCAAGAGAAAAAAAAAAAGACATGAGTTAGAAACAGATACTCTAGATAGGAGCTGAATTACACAGAATTCCACTGGAAATACTCTTCAAAATGTGTGAGCACTAATATACAGAGTATAAGGATTTCAACTATAAAATGGAGCCAATATTATTTGTATGCCTCATTAGGGATATAAGAATAGGTATAAACACTATGAAGCTCTTTAGACGGCATCACAGAGGATGTCATATTCAATAAATGTTGCTTCTCTTCCATCCTTCTGCTACTCCTTAAACGTAAGTTACTTGGACAGGAATAAAACAAGTTATAAGTTGTTTGCTATATTCT